GAGTTCCTGGATGAGTAATCGAGGCTGAATTTACGCATAGTGGAGTCTGATTAGCGCAAGTGGGTGTCCAATCGACATTTGGGATCGTGAAGCATGGTGGTGTGACCCCATAAATCCTGGTGAATCTCGGCCGCCTCCCTACTCGTGGTTTCTGCGCCGCTGGCCGTGGAGACGCATTTATTGCTCTGATAGCTGGTGACCTAATCTCTCAAGCTGCAAGAATTCTTGTGAGAATGTCTATGTCTAATCACTTTGTCTTCTGTCACCAAAACCTGACTTCAGTCACTTCCCACCTTCCCTCATGCATTAAATGCTTATTTGTGGCCAGTGGGTTTGCTGCATTAAACAGGCGCTATTTCTTCGCGTTCATCGCCTTTTTTTTCGTATTTCCCCCTTAAACACTCATCTTAAACCTGTTCTAATGGCCTCCAGTACCCCCACATCTGTCGAAGTTCGGTCCCAAGCCTTCCATACTGAATTCGAGGCTATTTGCCGAGACATCCAGGGCTCGGCCCTCCCTGACATCATCGCGCCCTGGGCTGATGACGATGGTGCCCCTACTGAGTCCTGCGTTCTCGGCCCCTCCCTTGATGGCGGAATGCCAGAGAGGCTTGTGGCCCATTTGAAGAACAACCTAATGGATCTCTCGGCCTTTGACGAAGGGGACTTCCAGGATTGGAACGTCCTCAGGCCACAGCAACAGTGGCCAACCGTGACCCCAGATTGGGAAACATGGTTGCCGAGGATGGAGCACTTCTTCGGCCAGCAATGGAAGGATCAAGGCATCTACCACTTGATCACACTGTTCGATCGGCCGCCCGTCATGGATCAGTCGCTCTTGGCCGCGGCTTTGTGTTTTTGGTCGTCAGCCACCAACACTATGAATTTTCGGTTCGGCATGATGACGCCGACCGTGCTCGACATGGCCGCCCTGTTCGGCCTTTCTCCTCTCAGCGTGGAAGTGAACGCCGCACTCGTTACTCCTGAGGCGGAAGGGAGTTTTAAGGCCACGTGGCCTACTCTTGCGAGGGTCGCTGGGAACAAGGCGAAGAACATGCTCAACTACTCCAGCTTCTACAGCAATTTTGGAGTGGAGGACAGCGTCGAAGACGACGCCATCGCCCCCCTCGGCAAGGTTGAGCATGCTGCATTCTTGCTGTACTGGTTGTGCAAGTTTGTATTCTGCACCCAGGCGAACAAGGTTACCCTGGAGTTCGCCCATGTGGCCGATTATCTTGCTCAGGGCGGAAGGTTAGCACTCGGCCCATTCCTGCTCGGCCATATCTACCGCACGCTTCACGACATCGTCACCGATGGGATGAAGCCGAAGCATGGTGATCCGCTGTGGGCTTTCCAGTTCTGGCTGCAAGCCTACTTCCCAGAGCTGAGGGCAGCGGTCGATATCAACGATGCCGAGCCGTTGGCTAATGCATTTGCCCGAGCCCCCAGGAAGCATAACACCTTGGCCCTCTGTTACAAATTTTTCTATGGCCTGGCTGAGAGGACTGGTACGCAGTTCCGAGTTTGGCTTGCTCGGCCGTTCCCCCTATTCCTAACTCACGATCTCTCCGTCATTCTTGATGTTGAGACGGAGAATGATCTGAAGGAGATCTGGGCTCCTTCCTAGTTTCGCGTGACCTTCACTGTGGCCTGTCTAAGGCCGGGGCCGAGGTTTATCTGCCAAACTTCGTGGCGCGGCAGTTCGGCCTAATCCAGACGGCCCCACTCCCTCCTCTGTCAACCAACCGGCTCTCGTCATGGAGGGCCGATGTCTCTCAGCAGCACGGCGTGGCTGGCATAACCTTCCAGCTTCAACAGGGGATGACCTTCCTGACTCTAACGCGCTGGTCGCACCGTAATGCGTATGACGAAGATGGGAGGGTCTGGTACGAGGAGTGTATCTCGGCCAGATTTATCCGGCCTGTTGAAGAGGCCGCAAGGGTGGCCCTGAAGAATGCAGACTAGGACCCTCTTACCCCCAAGGGCAGTGATCGGTTCATAATTGTATATCATTTTGTACCCTTCTAGCTTAGGATTTGGTTATGTTTTTGAGTTAAACTTGTGCTTTTAATCCTTTTTGTGTTTATCTTTCAGCTTTAGGTAACAATGATGGTTTTGGATATGAAATGATGTAATCCATGTATGTTAAAGCCTGATTTGGATAAAGGGATGAAGAGCTTAAAAGACAAACTCATTTTGGCTACAGCTCCCTGCCAGTCCAGTTCCGTAGGTCATATTGCAAGCTTTGTTTCAGCAAC